ATTTTAATATCTCAATCATTTCTTTGTATAAACTCAATCCGAGACACAAGTTCTCTTCCTCTTGTCCAGCTCTATCGATTTTGTGGTCTTAGCATTCCTACTTTTGAATCCCCCAGGAGGAATAACTTCCCAAGTGGGACTCAAATTCTCGTCGTTTCTAGGCTTCTTGCACCATATTTTGGTCAAAAAGTGCAAAATCTCAAAACCCATTTATGGCATAATTTTTTGACATGGTATCCAGAGGAGCCCTTAGGTTTTAGAATAAATTAATTTGGTCCATTTTTTTATGCCATAATTCGTGAACTTTCTAGCTATAATTTTGTAATATTTCCTTTGGATTTTGTGGTATCCAGACAAAACAACTTCGCGACTTTGTCATTTCACCATTTTATAGAGATTTTCGTCATTTTATGCCATAATTCGTGGCATCCAGAGGAGCCCTTAGTTATTATACGTCATTTATTAGTTTTGAAAAAAGAAGTAAAGTTAAGCTCTAATTATGCCGGAAAGCGTGAACGATTGTATTATCCGGAAAAGTTGGGTAACAACCAATCAAAAGCGCGGAATATCTTGAAACATTCCGCGACCAGCAGCTTTTGCCTGGAATTGCATTCTGTGAAGCTTTAAAGATGCAATTCCAGGCAACAGTACAACGACGCTCACCTACCTACCCGACGCTCGCGAGGAAACATTGTTTCAGGCATTTAAGGCAACCTCAAACTTCACGTTTATATTTCACCAAGCAGCGGTATAATTCAACCAACTATCGTTTACAGTTAATAAACGTTTCGTCAATATATTTCACCAAGCAGGCGATATATTTCGACTAACGATATTCTCTGCTGGCTCTGCTATCGATGGTTTCGTTTCCGCGCGATTCCGCCTTTCGAAACGTCATTCAGAAAGGATCAGTCACCACTGCGTCACCCCCGCCGAACGTCGACGTTATCCTTGCAAGTGACTCTAGTATGTCTGTGTCTCATAGGAATACATCGGCCTATCGTCACTTGTGCGCACATCCGCCGTGCATTGGGTTCCTCTCGACGACGTCGCTTGTGCATATGCCAGAGGAGTCCAATGGGGGACCCCCAAAAAGCACATAAATCGCATATTTATGTTTCATATGTGCTGTCGTTGTGTCCCAGCATATGTTGTACTTGTGTCAACTTGTCACAGATGGGCCAACCAAAAACCAGGAACACAAATCGACTGGTTCAAAGTGGGTTTGACCTCTTGCACACGACATTTGGTCCTGCTTGCTGCAGTGGTGATGAGATCCTCGCCTCTGGGGTTTCTCAGGTTGCCAAAGGCATCGCCAGCGTACGATACACCGCAACCAGCTTCTCCTGGCTCTCATGTTACGCCTGCGTATGCATATACGGACTCGCAATAAGGTCTCAAGGCACAAATGCACATTGTTCTCACACACACTACTCTAGATTCTATCGACTGCACTCGTCACACCGAGTGAGATACCATGGCAATGGACATGAGTAAATGCGATCGCAGATTAATTAGGCCGATGCCTGCACTGCTCGTGAGCCTGAGGCACCTCGAATTGCCTTCTTCCTCGATGGAAACAACTACCCTGTACAGGAACCCAGCAACAGAGATGTTCAAAACGCATTTTACAACGGTAGCTTCAAATTTAGCCAACATGATCACATATGCGAAATGTCAATTTCTCACAAATGTCAAATGCACCGTTTTAATAGGTTGGTTGCATTCGGTTTATGTCACTGGCGTATTGCTTTACGGAGTCGATGGCACACTCGTTTGGGGGAAGCACAAATTTCCCGGCTCCTGGAACGATGGAGAAATATGTCGACCACTCATCGAACTGTTAAGGAAGCCAGGCGTTTTGGCCCCTGGTGTGTGCGTTGCTGCGGACACTGCATTTCTTGTGAAAGACGGGAACCGCAGCATCGTAACTCCTTTGAAATCTGGTAACATGGACAAGACTTCGCCCGTGCTGCGTGCTGCCGTTGAGCGTGTCAGTAACGCAATTACCTCGTTACATCAGGCTGCGGAGTGGGGCATGGGATCTGCCCCGATTGTCTACCGCACATTGGGATTGCCACTCCCTTACAGTCCAACTGTTCGTGCCCGACGACTAAGCACGATCTACCGCTTGTACAACTACCGAGTTCGCTCCACGGGTATAAGCCAAATTCGCTCTGTATTTCAACCAAATAATTGATGACAACAATTGTTTCCAAATTTTGTTTTGATTTTTCTAT